GACGACGACGACGAACGACGAGAGAGAGAGAGAGAGAGAGAGAGAGAGAGAGAGAGAGAGAGAGAGAGAGAGAGAGAGGGGGGGGGGGGCCGGATACGATTCTCCGACTCGAACACAAATTATAGACTCCCGGATCGACCGTTGACTCGACGACTCGTAGATTCGCCATTCGCTATTTCGGCCACTCGGAACATACAGGCTCATGGCTATGTACTCGTACTCGTTGTTCGTAAGCGCAGCAATGGCATTCACGGACACGCACGTCTCTCGAATCTCGATCCTTTTCAGTGGATCGCGCGCCTGCCCTGGTCTCGACTCTCATTCTCCTCGCTCGGTGTCTTTGTGGAGAGACGCGCCACTCGCTTCGGGGTACATCGAGGAGTCGACCACGCGAATTTACAGAAGGCCACTCGAGCGCGAGACAATTGTTTAGTCGTCTCGAGGATTTCTGACTTCTTTCTCTCCTTCTGCTTCTTCAATGAATTAGTCGTTCTCCTTCTTTTCTCCTTCTCTCTACTTCGATCAGCCAACTTCTTCCCCGCGCGACCGTTAACGGTCGACCGAAAACATCGCCGAACAGTCCGCTCTCTTTCTCTCGGCTCGTCGACAGATTCCCAATCGAACTACGGGGAATCGCATAATGAGACATTGTACACTTCGAGTGTTGTATACAGAAATAAATCTGATGAATATTCGTCAGTATATTGGAATTTCTTTAATTTAATACTTATTTCCGTACAACCTGTTTTCTACAACGTAAAAGATTATTTATTTAATATAATTATTTAATATAGTTATTTTTTTATATATTATTTAATTATTTTTATTATAAAAGCTTGTAAAAATAAAAATTAAAGTATGTTAGAATAAGTAAAGCGATCTTGAAGTTTAAAGAATATTTAATCAGAACCGCCAATCTCATGTAATAATCATAAACATAGTATTTATAAATATAAACAGTAATGTTAACACAATAGTGCAAAATAATTAAGAAGAAACACATTTATTTACATTTTTACAGTATTCGACTGTTCATTAAAATACACAATCCAAGCGTGTCGTAGATCTCGCGAGGGAAAAGTGTCTCTCTATCTGTCGCTCCATCCTTTGACAGCGGCAGTCGGCGACACGCCCGCAAAATTGCTTCTCCGACGTGGAAGCGCGGCTGCGGCACGAGAGAGAGACAATTTTTCGGGGGTTGTGAAAAATATTAATAACTCCGGTGTTGCAGAGTAAAGGACGAAGGGCTTTTCGAGTAAGGGATGGCATGTTCGAGGGGGAGGTCGTGAGCGGTGGGTGAGGCACGGGGTGGCAGTAGACCGGAGGGGGGGTAGCAAGGGGGTGGCAAGTGTTTCTGTCAGTTTAATAGCTTCGCGCCTACCTACCTCCTCATCCCTCCCCTCTCCTCCCTTAATCCTCCCTCTTTACTTGCACAAACTCACCCTGCACGCGTACACTTTGCCGTCGACATTACAGCATCGTCACTCCACGTGTCAGAAGTTACGCCAGACATAGGAGGTCTGCTTAGATCTGATAACCCTTTGATATTCCCGTTATTTATTGCCCCTGCATAGTTAGTCGGCGTCGTTGGCATCGTCATGCGTGAGAATCAATCGGGCTCGACTCTTGGACAATCTTTGTACTGGATTACAATGGTTATGATAATTGGATGATTGGATTTTAGATGATAATTGGAATTAAATAATACGTAAGAAACTTGACTTGGTTAGAGATAATTTTAGACTTTAACTTTATAGCTGCACTATATAAGTAACATGTTTATACAATGATTCGAAATAAGAATAAAATCAATATATTCTTTCCAAACATTCAAAAGTTTTATGATTTTGTGAAATAAGACTTCAAAAGACTTTGAAAACGAATAAATAACATGTCAGCGAAACAGGAGAAAATATAAAATTGCAAACTCACATTTTTTATAATCGTAAAATTAAGTAATCGTGAAATTAAGCGGCATTATGTGTTCTATGCCGGTAATAATAAATATCTAATTATTACTAAAGCTAGTAAAGTGTAGTAACATTTAATTTTGTGTAATAATATATAAATGTTTTAATTATAAATATATATTTGCAAAATTTCTAAATAGTGTATATATAACATGGAAATAACGCATTACAAACAAACGTTATATAAACATTTATAATTGTCGATTTTTAGTATTTAATTATATCCATTTTATTATTTAATTATTTCATCATGTGATAATGACGATGTATATAATTAAATTATTTAGCTGTACTTCTTATAAATTCTATTATTAATTTTATTAAATTGTACAAATTCAAAGATATTAATTTTACCTTTCTCATACGTTTTACAATATTAACTTAATATTTCAAATCATATCTAGTACTTCTAGTATTTTTTTCGATTAAAGGATTTGTAAGATAATAGTTTTTGGAAATTCCCAAAGAAATTGCCTGGTCGGCACAGCTTTCCTGTTTTATTAAAGGATACGGTTTCTTACCGCGCTGGAGCAAAGGTGCGCGCAATAGGTGATATCAACTTCCGAGATGGAGACATTTTTATGCCGGTGTAAATCAAGCCCCTCCAAATATTGCGCGAAGGACAAAGTCGACGCCGAATGAACGAAGGGTACCGGCATTGCCGGCCATAAAGAATGATATAACTGCACGCGACACATGTCTTCCCGGGTGCGAAACACAGTCATATCGTCGTTACTGCCTCTCCTTTTCCGTGCGCGCCTTCGCACCACCGACCAGCTACCAGAGAAATGAAGATTTGTTTCGGCGTCTCTCGGCTGCGTCATATATTCCTGCGCGGCTTTATCCGCGGTCGTCCCGATTTTATAGCGCACGACTTAAATCATCCGTGCCTGTTCGCCTCGAAAATAAACCGGGCAAGGAAATGTGGGCTAATAACTTCTCGCGATTGTCCTCAATAATATTTGGATGAGAAGGATGAGAAATTCAAAAGGAAATTGCAAGTAGACGATAGAAAAGCAGAGTTTAGAAAATTCTTCAAGCAAATTAGTTTTACAAGCAATTTTTAAAAATAATTTTCTTAAATAAAATATAAATTTATTATATGTTGAATTTTTTATTTCTAATGTTATATAAATTCTATGTTATATAAATTCTTCAGACTTTGAATTTTTTGAGATGAAAGAAGAAACGAGAGTCCGTAGTCATGTAGTATATTTTTACCTTCGAATAAAAAAGTCAGAAAAAATTGGATGCATGAGAGAGCAATTGAAAGAGCTTGCTTCGATCGTTTTTCAACCGTAACGATTTTCTCAGAAAATCTCAAATCTCGTTTTCTAACTAAGACGAACGTTATGTATCCATAGAGAGATATTTTTTCCATTAGAAAGTGAAGCGTAACAATACGTGAGATTGCCGTTTTCGATATTCTACTCCTTAGATTGACTTTGAAGTTGAGTCGATGGACAAATCGTGGTGAATTGCGGAATATGTGGTCGGATAAAATGGAGACTTGACTGGGAGGTTTGTGACAGCCACTTTTCGCAGTGAAAAAGTGGTCACCCTTCAATAAGGGCTTCGGTAGCTGTCCCGCTGACCTCGTCTTCGGGGGTCCTTTTTTTCTGCGTCCTCATTGAACTGCTTTTCGACGGAGATTTTTTGCGATGAAAAAAATATTTCCGTGCATTGGCATCTTGTTGCTGATTACTAATGAAGTCAAAGGTCTTACACTGCTATACACTCATTCGTATCGTGATGTGACGTATAATCGTGAATTCACTAGTGAGGAAAAATATGAAATATCTATGGACATACAATACGACACATTTTGTTGTTATTCACATTCACAGACAGATTTTAGCTGAAGGTAGAACTTTTTGTTAACGTCAACTACAGTTGTCTAAGTTATTACAGTTTAAAAACATGCAAAGCTAATTTTTGAAAAAATTTTGAAAAATTTTTGAAAAAATTTATTTTTATTTGTTTTGTTGTTAATTTATTTTTGACAAATTTATTTTTCAGTTTTTATTTTATGTTTTAAAAGTTTAATATATAATATAATAATTTATTATTCCTTTTCCTAAATTTTATCTAAAAATTTTATTTATAATTCAACACAATGCATAATTTCTAACACACAAATAACGGAGTAAGAAACATTTTAATACATATTTTAAAACATTACAGTAACATATTGAAATTAAAAAATTAATTATGTGTATTGTGAATTTTGTAAAAAAAAAAATTAACGTCCCATTCTTCTCTTTCCTCTATTAAAATTGATTCTTGCTCGGGTCTGGAATCTTCAGAAAAAGAATCCCATGTTCGACTTTGACATTCAGCTACCGCGAAATCTCTTTCGTTATCAGCGTCACGTTACGCTATCCCTTCCCCTGTTATCCCCTCTTCAGGCATTCTCTCAGACAGTCGCATTACGCTCCACCGCCAAAGTACCACGTTCCTCTCGCTCGCTCTCTCGAGGGATGCTGTAGTCGCCTTGGTGGGGATCTCGACGCGATAGGGGTGGCTCCGCCCGTGAACCAACCAGAAGTCCCGCTGGAAGCGATCCGCCACACCCCGTGAATCGTCCCTGGGATCCCGAGAGAACCCTCGTCGTGCCATCCTCTTCTCAACAGATTTTGGATCCTCTAGTCCGCCAAGGGCCAGCTGACACGGAGCAGTGCTCTTTCCGTTGTCGGTTTCTTCCATCAGTCGTTCATCCGGAAAGATTCGGGCTACCCCCCGCGGTCGCATCCACCCTCTTGAAGATCTTTAGTTCCGGTCGGATTATCGGTCGTGCACTCCGATCGATCATTTGCTCGATCATGAGGACAGTTGACGGATTTTCATCAACGTCACTCGTCATTTTCGTGATGTTGACGTGATCTCGTGTAAGGAAACTCTTGTGATACCGATGTGTCGGAAGTGAGTCCGAATCCTCGTCTCGTCCAGGATCATTCGGAACATCCAGGATTCCGGGATCCGAGACACATTACCGATGAACGGCCTTGATTTATCCCAGTCCGCCGTTGATTGCAAGATGAACGGTAAGTCAAAGAGATCAACTAGTCGCTAATGGATCAACATTGAGAAATGATCAATGATGAAACTTTAATTGTATTTAATTGTACATGATGTGGAAATATTGTTAATATCCGATATTAGCGTGGAAATAACAATGACAACGCTGTACGTAATCTGTATGATTTTGATTTAATAAACATTATTATTAAAATATGTTATTTATTAACATGCATTGGCAAAAATATGTTCGGGTTTTTATCTAACTTTAAATCAAATTGTCTGTTTTTATTAATCTCAATTACAAAAATGAATTAATTTTCTTGGACGTTCAATTACAAAATTAATTTGAAACGTGTATTGGTGTAATCGGTTTTTTAAATGTGTTCCAATGTTGTGTTTGTTGTAGTTTAATGAAATTTATCATCTGGTTCTGGGATATTTATTATGAGTTCAGTATTTTTGCAAAGCTTAACTTGTGCGTTGACGCAAGGTATTCTTTCGTCGATCCCATACAAACATCCACGAGGAAGCTCGACCGCAGTCTATCCGGAGCCAGACTCCGGAGATTCGATCTTCTGTCCAATTTGGCCTGCCTCAGCCTAGTAATTCCGTGACACGCTGATAATCTTATCAACGTCTCACGATACTACTCCTGGCCGCAGGATCCGATTGCGTCGTTTTTCTAATTAACCCCAATCGCCAATCTACGCCCCTATGGTAGGGAGATCTGATACTGTCAGCAAGATTGGCTTTTAATCGCGCCATCCGCAGTGGAGCTTTCGGAAACCGGCGTCGCCTCTTGCCACCTCGTGCTCTGTGCACGGCACATTAAAACATTCGCGTTCTCCGTAGAGGATCTTCGTATCGCCAGGATGTCCTGTGCGGTCAGAGTTAACGCGGTCTGCACGAACGCGAGCGTAACTCATAGTACAATCGCTCTTCCGACATCTCTTTAGTTGCTAATTTGTTTAATTATCTTTCCCGGAAGTCACGCTTGCGTTTCTTGAACCTCATGGCAAATGTCCCGTTTCTCTGGCGTTCAAGACGCATAGTGTCATAGACTTTTTACTTTTTACCAAACAATAACAATAATTAATAAAATATTTATAAAAAGTGTTTAACGTTTGAAGATATTTATATTTGTATTTAATTTGTGTAAAAGTTTTTATACAATATAATTTGATAAAGAAATAATTATGACAACGTAAAATTAATTTTGACTGTGATAGTAGACACTTTCTTAATTATAACTGTTTTATTATAATGATAATAAAACAGAATTTATAGAAACATAATCTTTAATTTGACATGTATATATTTTGTCTTATCTTTTTCTTTATTTAGTTTCTTGCATGAAATATTCACTTGACAATATTTGGACGCGCACATTTGGTCTCGTGTATCTACTTAATGGTGGATTAATCCATCATTGGTTGATCGTTTGTTAAACCCTTCGATCGTGAACGAAACGTCAACTGCCGATATATTTAGCGCGTGCAACTATACAGCAATCAATAGACGAATTCACGAAGTATCGCACACGCGCATCAATCATCGATCACAATAGACCATGCGATGCAAAAGAGTCATTTGCTTTATAATTTGCTAACTACTTCACCGCCGTGGGTAAACATGTATTATTTATTTTTACGGTAAATATCATATAATTGCAACGGCAACTGATAGAATAATTTTCATTAGTCGTCTATTCATCGTCAATAACAATATTCTAATTATTAATTTATAATCGCTTATAAAATACTTCATAATGCTGTCATAAGATTTCTTCAAAGATTTGTAATAGAAATAAAACGTGATTTTCTCATTTGATGATAAAAGATTTTCTATGATAAAAATTTCGGTCACAAGCTCGCGGAAAAATCTCATTTTTCAGAACTAAATAATTGCTAACGATCAGATTATTCGTCTACGAGGAAATTTCTCAATTGATATAAAAAAAAAGGAATTCTTCCCACGATTAATTTCTGTAGCTTGTAAAGCCGTGCTACAGCAGCACTTCGCTCTAATCATTTTCAGAGCCTCTCGAGCCACTATCATCAGGGATAATGTCACGCATGGCTCGACAAGTACACTCGTACTTCTGTCAAGGGAGAAATATTCCGGCACTCTCGTATCTCACAGGAGTCAAAGACCCCTAGACTTTCGAGAGTTTTCCAAATATTGTTGTTGTATCGTATCGGCTACTTACCGCGCGAGGCTCTGAAGTGTATCCCCTCGCGTGATCGAGTCTCTTCTTTACGATCATCTCCGGTCATAAGCGCTAAATATCTGCTAAATCGTGTTTGTCCTACCGATTAGGATATTGAATTTTCGGTAACAGTATCATGGTATGTTGCAGTTTCGGATTGCGCCTCCGTATTGTTCTCGGGTGTGTTTATAATTATCTTACAATCGAATTTCAATTTTCTCTTTCTAAAGATGTACGAACATGATATACAAAACAATTGTAAAAGTTCATTAATTTGGAGATATTTTTATGTAAAAAATGTTACATAAATGTTACAATTAATTGTAATTAATTGTAAATAATCATGTAAGTTAAAAGCTTTGTTAAAATTGTTTTATTTTTTATCTTTTGATTATCAAGTTACCGCTTCTCTTTTTTTACAACTACGATGTTAATTATAATTATTTGCAGTAGAATAATTTAGGAATCAAGATCTATAGATTAGTCTACAAACGATTTATTTTTTCCGATTAACCGTGACGCATCGATATCGTAGACGTCCTGTCTCTTTGAGCTTCGTGTCGACGAGCACGCCTTCAGGATCACCGTTTTCTTTTACGACTCGCCCGCGCCGACGTAAGTCGATGGATCTTTAAGTCTTTGTTTACTCTCTCGATTAGAATGGAATTGAAGTCGGCATCGTAAAATTGATATTTTTACCGTTTTATTGCGGTACACGACGCGCACGAACCGCTTTTCATGTATACAATCGAGCAATATTGTAGAAATATTATCTGCTCGTACTCCAGTTAAATTTTTCAGAGCGAAATCACCAAGGTTCGATAATTCAATTATTTAACAATACCGTCGCGCAATATTGAAATTAATCGTGAGAAAGTTTTGATCGTAAAGTTATAGTGCTTCCTCCCTTCTTCTCTAGGTTCTTCTTCTCTTTTCCTCCGTTTCTTCCTCGACAATTTGTCTTCCTCTTCGATGCACCTGCCAGCTCGTCGCTAAAACGATCATTTGCTTAGTCGCCGATTCACACGGAATTCTCCCTGTTTGTAGAGGACTCTCGATCTTCGCAGGTTTCTCGGCTGACTCGAGGACGCGCATAAAGTTCATAGTTTGTTTTTAGATAGTCGATACACCGCGTGGGTATCTTTCAATTCGGAGATAAGGCCGCCATTAAAAAGGGCTCGTCGTATCCGGCTAAAGTGAGCTGTATAAACAAAACCAGATTCATGGGATGTTTCTTTGTCGCTTCGAGTGCGATATAATTGCTATGAATAGATAATACTTAAATCTAATACTTTTGAGAATGTTTAAACGTATTTAAAATGCATTTAATTTTGTACTATAATTTATGCTTTTTTTTTTAAATCATTACTATACTGTCATATATATTTTACTTTCATATATATATATTTTATGGTTTTGTCCAGAGTAATTTGCGCGTTGTTTGCAACAAAATAACCGTAACTTATTTAACAATACATACGATAGACCCTTTTTATTTCCAAATATCTCGTACTGGATGACATCATGACGCATCAAAAACAGCCGACGAGAGGACAATAAAATTCTTATCATGGCAAACATCCTCGGCTTGGGTGTCATTGCATACATGCGGCAGCTGCGTCGAAGAAACGTGTCGTAGATAGCGAGTTCTCCAATTGGCACTTGTCCTTGTATGCCTAGGATTCCTAGGATCAAGTCGTAAAGAGAGAAGGAAACGAGAGGACTGCGAACAACACAAATTTACCTATTATTATTTTACCTCTCTCTGCAAAATCATTCATGACTTTCCGAGACCTTCATCGAAACGCGAAGTTTACACGAAGCCACGACCTTTCCCGCAACAAAACGCTCGTACTTGCGTTTAATATCACGAACTGCGACTTTATTACGAGAATAACGAGCTACCGTTTTCTGAGAAATGATCAATCAATACGTCACGTTCCGAAAAGTCGCGTCTTATCATTGTTCTGTGTACAAACCTTTTTTGGTAAACATGATTTTTGCAAATGGCGGATAATGTTTTTGAAATTATCCAAAATGCAATGAATATTTAGTATAATTCTTTAAGAAATTGACATGTTAAGTATAAAAAGATAATATAATTGACAATTATAGATCAAGTATTATTAATCTTGAAAAATTTTATTTTGATTAACTCAAAAGTTAAAAAAAATTATTTAACTTTTTTTATGATTTTTAAAGAATGTAAACATGAGTTATAAAATTATAAAAACTCTGGAAATATAAGACAGTAGTTGAAAATCAGATTTATGATAAGAGTACTTTTCTTTTTATAAAATAATAATATTATTTATTTATTTAAGATTCATCGGTCTATATCTCGGTTCATTTGTTCTTTTCTCAGGAAGCAGCGACGAAGGCGAGTCAACGTCGGGCGCGACAGGCGGGGGTGGCGGTAGCGAGAACATAGAAATGGAGGAAAACGGATCGACTCGCACGAGCAGCAACAGTAGCAGCAACAATCCCGTTTACAGAGATCTTAAGTCACTCCAGGCTAGCAGCGAAGTTCCGCAGGAATACAATCCCCAATCACGCGCCGCCTATCAACAACGCGGATACTCACCAGGGATAGACCGACAACGGAATTACGAGAAGGAGCAACTTCAACCGTCGCCATCTTCCAGGGAGGAAGATAGAAAGTCATCATCCTGGGACTACAGCGAGAAGAATACGCGGAAGGAGTACTCAAGGTCGCGGGATTACAGCAATGAATACCGTGAGTCTCAGGCAGTTCCGTTGAAAGAAATTCTTAATCGCCACGAAATGTTTACACGACACTTATTCTTAGTTAAAAATTACGAAATAGAAAAATATAAAAAAAATTTGTTGTTGGTTTGCATTAATTAAGTTTTCCGTTATCGGATTCGTTCGATTGTGAATTCTGTCGTCACTTGTGAGTTAATTTAAAATTTTTTAATTTTATAAATGAATATTCAATAAATGTATTCTAACGTTTATCTGCGTAGAGGATACGATAAAGCAGGAGCCGAAGGATCATTCGAGTCGCGAATGGGTATCACCCGTTCCGGAGGTCGAGGTCGGCGGTTCAGCACCCGGGGGTCCGTACGTTCGTGCACGCAAAGACATCCCTCGTGGCGCGAGATTCGGTCCGTTCCTCGGCAAATGGGCGAGTGAGCCTTTCAACCCCCGTTACGCGTGGGAGGTGAGTCGTATATTTCTTTCGCGGTGTATATAAATGTGTGTACGTGTTTATCGTTTTCGCCCGCTTTCGAATTCTCGGAGTGGAAGTAGCCAAGGCGATCGTAAAGCGAATAGGTTGGTGCTCGATCAGTTCAAACTGACCTTTTGAAGCGAAAGATATTTGCTTGCGTTCTCAATGTTGCGAAATAGTCCTCCAATGCTCTAAAACTTTTTATCGGAGCCAATCAATGCGGCGAATATTTTTTTTCCATGTTTTTTGCCGATTAATGAAAGTATTTGTTTATTAATCTAATAGGATCGACAAGGGAACACTTTTATATAATATTTAAATATATAAAGTAATATATAAAATAGATTAGAATAAATATATCTATTTTCTCTCTTTATTTTATTCTTTTAAATAAAAAAATGCATTTAAATTAAGACAGGAAAAAATTTAGGATTATATTTTTCTTGCTGAGTTATGACTAGTGTTACGCATAAAATTTAACAAATTTTTTTACGCTCAAATTTCACATGTGATTTTCTTCCTCAATAGTATACGTTTACATGTTTATTTGAGATTCGCAAAGATTCACACGCGAATTTTATTCGATATCATCTAGATTTTAGGTTGTCATCAAACTGTTTGAAAGATGATCGATCTGTTTATGGTTCGAGTTCGATGTAGGAATGCTTCATTTCGCGTTCGAGCCGATGTCAGTGGGTTTCCTATCCTACTGCCATAATCCCGGGTATTATCCGGCAGATGCCGGTAACAGTAAAGGAGAAAGAAGGAAGAGCAGATAGACAGAGCCGTCTCTCTGCTTCGACGGCAAACACCTGGTCGACTCGTTTGCCGAAGGTGTCATCCACGTTGACAGATCTGTCAATTGGATCGCCTTAGACAGCTTTTTCTTTCGGTTCTTCCGAAATTTTCGGATTCCTACGGAATCTGTTAGAAGTGCATACGCTGGACCGCACATTCATAAGTCGACCGTAAAATCGCTGTGTGAAGTCAGGATCGAGGAAGCGGCCCATGAAACAGTCAATAACGGTTACTCTTCTTGTTGTACAATAAGAGTATTTGCAATTTTACTTATTTTGTATCATCTAAATGTTATTAATTCGTAACAAAGGTGTAATTATTAGGCGATGTTTCGGGAAATCGAAATGCTCTTGGTCTTGGCTCTTGGTCTTCTCACGATCGCCTTCGGAATTTACCAACATTTACGTTACGTTTACGTGTTGGAAAAGATTTCCAAATTTGCACGGTAGGAAACTGATCGCGTACTGGTCCAAAGGGTGTGATAGATATGATAGCGGCGGCGTTAGCGCATGTCGCACTGACAAAATGTAAATGGCACCATCCATCTAACTGCCGACAAAAAGGCAGCCGGGGCCAACTGTCGGACTGGCGATTACAGGATCGATTAAAGCCAAACTACCCCTTCGTTTCGTCGAGCCGATCTATCAACCCCACGCGCGTAAAACGCATGCGAGAGGGAAAACATCGCGAGAGTTGGCCGCGATTTCTCATGTCGATCTACGTTTATTCTAAATGCCGCGCAAACTGCCGATGCAAACTCAACGAAAGTTCCCGAAAGTTCTTTAAGCTTTTAAATGGATTTTTACAGAGAGAAAAATGATTTAATATAACATTTAATATCTTATTTTAAAAAGTATTTTTTTTTATTACATAAGGTAGACATTTTATTTAAATGTAAAAAATATTGAAATCTTAGCAATAGGATACATCTTATGATAGAATTTTCATGACAATATCGGTAACGAACCCTTGGGATTTCACGAACCTTTCCAGAATCCGGTGAAGCAAAAAACCTCCCTTCGATTGATTCGCACGTTATCCCCCGAGTCTAATCCTTTTCTCACATCTTCCGGAAAACGCACTGAAGTTCTCGTGAAGTGAGATCAATGGAGGGAGAACAAGAACCACGAAACCGAAATTCGCCCCAAATTTCCTCAGTATTTATCCTTCTCAGAATATCCTCGCGGAAAATCGGAAAGTTTTTATGAGCTTATTGGATTTAGAATGATCGTTCTGAATTAGTTTTCCGACCAATCCAAAAATCAAATTTTCTTGGCAATAAACATTTGTGTATGTGTGTGTGTGTGTGTGTGTGTGTGTGTGTGTGTGTGTGTGTGTGTGTGTGTGTGT